TTCTCACTAAAGTGTTATTGACTAATAGGACAGGTCCAATGGTGGAATCCCAGGCATCTGAAGAGAGCAGAGGGGAAGATATTTTATGAGCACTGAGGGGTTCAGAGATGGAGTGACAGCTGGTCCACGCTTGATGGGAGATCAGTTGATGCAGAAGTCAAAAGCTCCCATCAAAGAGCCTTCCCAGGCGGACCCAGAACCCTGGGGCTCTGAGGAACAGAGGATGAGCCCCAAACCCTCCTCGCCACCACCCCACTGAGACTCCTGGCCTTGCTTTCTCAGGCCACCGCGTGCAATCCTTATGCAACAAGACCACAGACACAGTGTGTGAACCCTGCGAGAAGAGCACATACACCCAGCTCTGGAACTTGGTTCCCGCGTGCTTTAGTTGTAACTCCCGCTGCAGCTCCGGTGAGTCGCCCAGAGAGAGGGCTGGTGGTCCTGGCATCCTTCCCTGGCCACCATGCCCTCCAGCCCCTTTGCCTGAGAGTGCATGCACAGCGCTTTACTGTTTATTAAAGGCATCCTCATCCTCTATCTCAGCAGGGGGCAGGCCGGCCAAGGGCAGCAGTGGGAAAACTGTGCCCCCTGTTGTAGGGTTGAGGAGGTTGGGCCTCGGAAAGCAGGCATGCTCGCTCATGCTGGGATGGAGACCCTGTGACAGATTGTCTTTTTGCCCCGTGCTGAGGGCAGTTCACCTGTCTGCTGGAGATCAGAGCTCTCTGTGGTTGGTGGGGCTGGCTGGGGAGATGGGGTGGGCGTGGTGGCGGGCAGGGCCGGTGGAGGCAGGAATGACCCTTGGCTGTCTTCTTGCTCCTGTAGACCAGACAGAAACTCAAGCCTGCACTCCAAAACAGAACCGCATCTGCACCTGCAAACCGGGCTGGTACTGCACACTGGGGAGGCAGGAGGGGTGCCGGCTGTGCGTGCCACTGCGCAAATGTGGCCCTGGCTTCGGCGTGGCCAAACCGGGTACGGGGCCAGTGGTCCTTGGGGACCCCCTTAGGCCTCTCCTTCTTGGGAACGTCAGTGGCAGCCAGGTGCCTGTTACCCATCTGTCCACCCGTCCCAATTCACTCTTCCCTCCAGCACTCCTGGTTAGGCACCTACTGCGTGCTAGGCCCCGGGGAGTCCGAGATGGAGCACATTAAGCCCCAAGCTACGGGGAAATGAGATGGAAGATGAAGTCACTAGAATTAGTTAAGGACAAGCTGCCCAGCTCTGTGTGTGTGTGGGTGGGTGTGTCTGTGTGTGGGTGTGCGTGCGCGCATGCGTGTGTGTTTCGTGGGGTAGAGGTGCAGACGGAACCCCGCGGGCCTCTGAGACTTCCCTGCTCCAGTTCCCCTGGAGCCAGGGCCCACCTGTTCCACGGAGTATCTGAGTTGGTGACAGTTTCCGATTTCTCCCTGAAGGAACGGCAACATCAGATGTCCTGTGTGCTCCCTGTGCCCCGGGGACATTCTCCAACACCACATCGTCCACAGATACTTGCAGGCCCCACCAGATGTGAGTAGCTGAGTCCTTTGCTTCTGGAGGAACAGAGGTGGGGTGGGGGTGCTGTCCCTGGACGATCATGAGGCCTGGAGCGCAAAACAGCCGGGCCACCATGCCTGGAATCCCCCCAGTTACTCCCTTGGGTTGAGGCATTGCTGAGCCCTGTTCAACACCAGGACTGGTTTATCTGACAGTGGGTCGGTCCCTGGACAGACAACACGGTGAACAGGAGCCTTGCCTTGGAAGTCAAGACTGGGTGGGAGGCATTGGGAAAAGTCGGGTGGGGACAGGAAGGGACAGTCTTGTAAGAGGGCGTGGCACAGGAACTCACTCCCCTAGCCTAGCTGCTGGGCTCCCTGCACGCTGGCCTGGCTCCTGCGAGTGAGCCCAGCTACCCTGAGCCACTCGGTCCTCTGTTGCCCCCTGACCAAGCCTCCTCCCCGTCAGCTGTAGCTCGGTAGTCATCCCCGGCACCGCAAGGATGGATGCTGTCTGCACGTCTGTGCTCCCTACCCAGAAAGTGGTCCCCGGCCCAGCCCCCACGAGATCCCAACATGTGGAGCCGACTCCAGGGACCAGCACAGCCCCAAGTACCTCCATCCCACTCCCGATGGTCCCAAGTCATCCAAGTTCCCCAGTTGAAGGGCAGAACGCCGGGAACATCTCTCTTCCAATTGGTGAGTCACAGGAGGGCCCTTTCATCCTTTTTTTCTTCCTCTCTTCCTCCCTTCCTCCCTCCTCTCTCGGAGTCTTACCGAGAGCCTGTTGGGGGCTGGATCCTGTGCTGCAGCCAGGGGTGCACGTGGCGTTGAAATCTCCTTCTCCCAAGACTTGGTAATGCCACTGCGAATTCCTGGGTGGGGAGAGGTAGGGTCAGCGTTTTATTTGAAAGTGGAGATGGTCTCCTGGTTGCTATTTCTGACAAACCCATTAAGCTGTAAAGACAGTGGCCTAGGCCAGGTCACCTCATGGGCCTCCCTTCGGGGGTTAGGACTGCCTCAGCCCAGAAGTCTCACACTCGTGGCCCTCAGGCTGAGTGTGGCCCACAGACGTATTTTGTTTGGTCCACGGATTCTGGTTTGTCTGCTTTGTAATTGAATTTGAGAGCCTCTAGACGGGGCTTGCCCCTCGCCTGCGACAGCCCCAGTCATCTTTGGTTGTTGAATGACCTGCCCTGCCCTGACCGGACCTGGAACCCCTGGTACACTTGAATTTGCATTTTGCAGCTGTTTCAAGCTTTTCTTTTCCTTCCAGGACTGATTGTGGGTGTGACAGCCTTGGGTGTGCTAATATTAGTCGTCGTGAACTGTGTCATCATGACCCAGAAGAAAAGTAAGATTCCATTCCTTCCTTTTCTCATCCATTTATTCATTCATTGGTTCAGGAAGCTTTTCTGGGGCACCTCCTGTGCGTCCAGCACTGGGCACAGCCTTCTGGGTGGGACAGACCTGCGTATGGTAGTCCCTGTTCTTAGGAGCATAGAGCCTGGGGCAGAAGGCACTTCCCATAACTTATCTCCTGAAAGACAAGACACCATCAAGGCTTATCCCAGAGGGTAGGAGTCCAAGATTCTTGTCTGGGGGATTCAGGCCTTCCCGAGCAGGTGACATATGAGCTGGGCAAGATTTTGGTGGGGACAGAAGAGCAGGAAAGAAAGGGCGAAGCAGAGGGCATGGTCTGAGCAAAGTGGGGCAGGGGCTGAAGAATGGTGGGGGGCGGCGGGAGGGGAGAGGAGCAGTGTCGGGCCAGCTGGAGACTCAGGTATAGAGGCTTCTCTGCACCTTGTCGGGAGATGATTGCTTCCCTTGGGGCTGCTTCTCTTTGGGCCCCATGCTCCCTCCTAGCGAGAACAGACATGGCCTGAGGAAGTCACTCCCTGACTCGCCCCCTCTCTCCTTTTTGCAGAGAAGCCCTTCTGCCTGCAAGGAGACGCCAAGGTGGTGAGTGCCCCACTGCCTCCCCCCTCCTTCTCCCCTGGTCCCCTTCCTGCTGGGCTGGGTTGTCCCATGGGAAGCAGTGGGTTCTTTCGGATGATCTGTCCAGTTTCAGGGAGGGTGCAGAGCCCTAGGAGGCTGAGGAAAGGCCGGCCACACCCTCCATGGGCTAATAAAGGAGACTGTGAGTGTGAAAGGCCACATCAGGGAGCAGGGGGCTAGTGCTGTCAGTGGTAGGCGTGTGGTCACGGGCGCACGGTGTGACCTTGGGCGGACGTGAAATTGCTCATGGCTCTGTTTCCTCACCATTCAGTGGGGACAGTGTCTCCTCAGCCCAGCTTGCGAGGTGGTGCTTTTCACCCAGCTGGCACCAGTTCTCAGCAGCTCCGTGATGTTTAACAAAGCACTTCCTCACGGAGCCGTGGTTTTCAAACTGAGTGCTGAGGTAACCTGGCGTTCCCCAAAGGGCCCTGCCTGGGGGTCATCTCTGGGGTTGAGGTGGAGGCCAGGGCCCTGAGTCCTCCCCCAGCTTCAGCCACAGCAGCTCACCTCTGATCTTTTTTATGAAGCAGGGTCTGTGCAGGATTTCTGCTAGAAACAAAACACTGATGTAGTATTTTATCAGTTCACCGTCAGGAAGGCATTTGGCAGCAAGTAACCAAAAACTTAAGGGTGACCTAAAAGGGCTTTATTTTCTCTCATACCATGAAGTCAAGGGGCCGACAGCAGCTGGAGTGGTTGAGTTGCGCCCTTCCATGAGGCCAGCAGGACCCCAGGCTCTGCCATCTTTAGTGTGTTGTCCTTTGTTTTCTTGCTTTTGACCTATGTCATCGTAAGATGGTGATCACCACTGCAAACGTGACCTCCAGGTTTGAGGCAGGAAGAAGAGGGGAAAACATCCAGGACAGCCATGCTCCCTTTTACAGGGAACTGCATGCTTTCCTAGAAGCCCTGGGTAGACTTCTCCTTTTATTTCTTTGTCTTATGTCTCTGGCCAGATGGTGCAAGGGAGGCTGGGAAACGGGCTGCTTTGCTTTCCTAGCCTTTACAGTGGAGGAGGACCTGGGAGAGGGCTTGGAAATGGCTGTGGGGTGATGTAACGCACTCTGTCTGCTGCAACCCCATACCCGGTAGGCAGGGCAGGTTTTTTTTACCCAGTTTTACAGATGAGGAAACAAGAGTCCAAAGCCTTCCCTCCATGTCCCCTGTCCTGCTGGGACAGGGTTTTTCAGCCTCAGCTGTATTCATGTTTGGGGCCTGATAATTCTTTGTCTTGAGGGGCTGTCCGGTGCATTGCAGGCTGCTCGGCGATGTCGCTGGCCTCTCCCTCACAGATGCCGGTAGCATCATCTCCCGGCAATGAGAACCAAAATGTCTCCAGGCATTGTCAAAGGTTCCCTGGAGGACAGAACCGCCCCTGGTTGGGAACCAGTGCCTGAGGGTTACACAGGGTTTTGGATGTGGTAGGAACCAGAGACTGATTTCATCTCCCAACTGTGCTGATGAGAAAAGCAGTGCAGAGAGGGAAGGCGACTTGCCCAAGGGCACACAGCAGTATGTCTCTGGACTCCTGGCCCAGTACTCTTTGACCTGCCCTCTGGTACTTCAGCAGACAGAAACACTGGTTTGGGAGCTCAAACCATTTCTCATTCCCCCAGCGTGCGAATGCCACGCCTTCCTTTTTCTGGCTTCAGTCCAGTGGTGCTGACAGCTGCTGGCTGGCCTGTAGCCACAACTCCCCTTTCGCTTCACTCAGTTTTGTGTTCATGAATGTGAACTACTGTTTGTTGAGTGCTGTTGTGTTTGGAGCCCAATGACATGTTGGTCACTGGCCCTCCAGGTGGGAAAAACCCCCAAACCCCTGATTTGTGCTGTTTGCTCGTTTCTGTGTTATAAACTCCCACTGTGGCCAATTTTAAGCTACCCAGACCTTACTGAATGTGGAGCTGGGAAGAAACACACACAGGTTTGAGCTGGTCCAGCACCACACTGGCTGAGCCCCGGGCCAAGCTGTGTATCCTCACACACCCCCTGTGAGGTACACAGTAGCATCATCCCCATTTCACAGAGGGAGAAACTGAGACTCAGGGAGATTCAGTTACTCAGGGAAGGTTAGACTCAGGGAGTGGCAGAGCCCAGGTTTGAAACTCAGTCTGAATCTGCAGGCCTTGTTTTTACCACCGTCCTGTTCGCCCAGGGCAGACTTTCACAGTTGTTTCCAGGATCCCCATCCCCAGCAGGGCCTGGCCTCAAAGGTTGGTCACCTTCCCAGCTGCCCATCAGTGCCCGGCCTCCCAGCCCTGCCCTCACCCCCGCACTCAGCCTGTGCCCCACTCTGCTCCTCAGCTGGCTGGCGGTGGTCCCCACTAATGGCTGCGTAGTCACCCTCCTGCCTAGGCTGCTGGGGTTGAGAAGACGGTGTCTCAGCACCGCCCTGTCCCTCCTGCTATAGAAATAATACCAAGGCATGGCGGGACAGAGGCTTCCCTTTGTTCAGAAAAGGCCAGTGAATCCATGTGTGCGAGCTCACGCACAGTCACCCCCACAAACACACACATTCACATGCAAGTCCTTAATTCATAAAGAGGGAGAATGTTTCTGAGGTGCTGAACATGGGCCAGGCACAGTACTGGGCATTATTTAGTCTCCTAGCCATGCTATGCCCGACACAGGCAATGTGAGTATTGTCCCAATTTTACAGCCCAGGAATCTTAGGCTCAGAGAAGTGAAGTAACTTTCCCAAGGTCACACAGCTAATGAGAATGGCCTGAGACAAAAACCTAGGAAAGCCTCTCTTCACCACCTCCAGCACACTCATTGCACCACACACAGACGTGCACACATGCCCCACCACACATAGGCAGATGAGTGTGCAGGCTTCATACTCCCGCATACCTGCATAGACAGGTGTGTGAGCCTCGGGAACACACGGAAGCAGACCCAGCCAGCGGCTTTGTCAGCGTCTCTGCTTCTGCCGGTGCCTGGGCCTGGCTAGTAAGTGAGGGGGACAGACTTGCGGCATCATGTTTGTTGAATGAGCCCCTCAGTGCTCCCCCAACTGGGGTCCCAGCCCAAGGAACAGGACTCAGAATGCATCTGCCCATCTCAGAGCCTGCCTGAACTTGGCCACTTGTGACTTTGGGGGAGGGAGACAGGCTGTGACCTTTGTGGGTTTCTGTTCTGCACCGCCCTAGACACCAGCATAAAAGCGGGACACAGACAGAAAAGCCCCTTCTCTGGAGGTTGTGAGGAATGACATTTGGATGCTTCTCCTCCTCCTCCCCCTCCCTCTCCCCCACCTGTCTAAGCTCAGAGCAGGGCTGGGGGGTGGGGTCCAATACCAAGGTCAGACCATCTGAGCGAAGGTTCAGCATGAACTTGAAATGCCCTCCCTTCCTCTAGAGTCGGGGGCAGTGAACCAGGGAGGCAGGACTCAGCGGGAAGCACGCAGTGCTGGTACACTGATCTGGGCTTCTGTGCCTGCCAGAGACCAGCTGTGTGATACTGAGCAGGAGACTCGCCCTCTCTGGGCCTCCGTGGCCTCACGGGGACTGCTTGCGAAGGATCCATCCAGCCTGCAGTGAGAGTCTGTGAGCTGGCCTCAGGACACAGAGGACTCAGGAGGGCTCAGGCAGGGCTGGGGGCCCAGGGCTGCGGGGATCGGCAGAGCTGCTCCATCAGCCCAGGGAAGGTACTCCCATCTGCCAGTGCTCAGAGCACGCCTGGAATTGTAGTTCCCTCAGGAATGAGGCCGGGGTGGGCCTCAGCCCTCCCTGTGTCCTGCACCTCTGACCCTTCCCTCCCCCAACCGTGCTAGGCTGGGTCCCTCTAGCATCTCTCTCACCTTGGACCCTCTCGTCCTGGGCAGACCAGGACAGTGGGGGAGAATGTGGCCCCTCTGTCTTCTTTCTTTCTGGAATCCAATGATCTCCCAAAACCCCACAGCGAGGGCTTGTGCGCCTGTTCAGTTAGTGCTGACAAGCAACGCCTCAGAGTGAAATTCCCGTGTGCACCCAGCACGGGTGTCCGGAAACAGGGCCCTTCGTCTCGAGCCTCCAGGGCTGAAACCCCAGACACTCAGGAAGGGCTGGTAGGTTCTAGCCCAGAGGCACCCCGTCCTAGCTGTGTGAACTTGGGCAGGCAAACTCAATCGCTCTGGGCTTCGGTTTCCACGTTTGCAAAGTGAGGACACACTGGGCTCCTGGAAGGATGGGTACAGATGGTGTCTGGAAGGGCTTCAGCACAGTGCTTGGCACTGGATGGATTCAAGTGTTGGCTAATATTTTATTATTGTTGTTGTGATTCATAAAAGTCCAGACAGTCAACACTTAGGCTTTTTGGATCATCTGGTTTCGGTCATAGCTACTCAAACCTGCCATTGTTGTGGGAAAGCAGCCACAGACGCTACATAAACAGATGGGAGCAGCTGTGTGCCAATAAAACTGTATTTATGGACACTAAAATTTGAACTTCACATAACTTCAGGTCATGAAATATCATTCTTTAAATATTTTTTCAACCGTCAGAAACTGTAAAAACCATTTTTAGCTCACAGTCTGTACAGAAACAGCGACAGGCTGGACTTTGCCCAGGACAGTAGCTTGGACAGTAGTTTGCATAGCCCTGAATTAACCAACCCTTGACTGGCGCTTGCTGTGCAACAGGCAGTGTTCTGAGTGCTTTACAAAACTCAGCCATTTAATCTTCACAACCGCCTCGGGGGTAGGTTGTTATTTTCCCTTCATAGATGAAAAAACAGAGGCACAGAGAGGTTGAGTGAATTGTCCAAGGTTGCAGAGCTAGTGAGTGATGGAGTCATGATTTGTATACATGTGATCTGGTTCCAGAATCCAGCTCCTCGGCTGCTAAGCTGAGCCACCTCATTCTGGGCTGTTGGGGTGACCTTAGGAAAGTCGCTCTTCTTCTCTGGGCCTCTGCTTCCTAATGCAAAATGAGGATGAACATCCTGGCCCACCTCTAAGACTCTTCGGTGCACAGGGCCACGTGGCCCCTGCCCTCTTAGGGCTCACACTCCGGTGGGGAAGGCAGATGCTAATCATGGAAGCCATGGAGAACCACACATCCTAGACGTGCTGTGCGGGGGAAGAGTGTGTAGGCATGGGCGGAAGTGCTGTGTAAACTGTGAAGTGCTGACGGTGGTGAGAAGGAAGAGGGGCCGAGAGGCTGGGGCAGGGGCTGACTGCCCTCCGTCCTCTCCTCCCCATCCAGCCACACCTGCCCGCAGACAAGGCCCGAGGTGCCCCAGGCCCCGAGCAGCAGCACCTGCTGACCACGGCGCCAAGCTCCAGCAGCAGCTCCCTGGAGAGCTCGGCCAGCGCCACGGACCGGAGGGCGCCCACCAGGTCCCAGCTGCAGGCGCCGGGTGCAGAGACGGCCGGCGGGGCTGGGGAGGCCCAGGCTGGCTCCTGCAGCTCAGGTAAGAGGCAGGAGCCCACCTGGCTTCATCCCCCCGCCCTCCGCCCCTGGTTTCCATATAAGCCATCTCATCCGGGGCCTCCCCTGCAGGACGAGGTCTGAGCTCCTGGTAGGACACTGGGACCCTGTGCCACCAGCCCTGGCTCCCCTCAGCCTTGCCTCCCTCCACCCCTCAGGTGCACATGAGCCACAGGCTTCTTTCTGTTCTCTGAAGCCACCACCTCCCTCCCACCTCTGCCCTGTGGGTTCTCTCACCAGGAACATCTTTCCTTCTAGACTGACTCAGCTTGTCCTCTGAGTCCTCCATACCCAAGCAGGGAGTTTTCCTACATATTATAATATATATAAAATATATTGTGTATAAAATAGCATAAACATAATAGTACATATTAATAGTATATTGTATTAAAAATAGTATATATTGATATATTAATAACATTATATACATTAATGTTACATATAACATACAGTGCATTATAGCATATAACAGTATTATATGTCAATATTATAAGTCACTACATGAAAATATATTAATATTATATGTACCATAACATAATATAATTAATATAATGTATCATAATTATGCTTATTGTATATTATTATGTTATTATAATACAGTATTATTATATTAATTCCTATTATATTTCCTCATCCTATCAGATGAAGAAACTAAGGCCTAGAGAGGTTAAACAGCTTTTTCAAGGTCACAGCTAGTAAACAGAAAAGCCAGGAATCACCTTTGGGCTCTCAGGGTCAGGGTCCAGAGCCTGTGGCTAGAAAGCCGAGGGAGTTAAGTGATGTCTCTGGGGCTTCACTCCCTGTGGCCTGTTACCCGGTCTTTTTGGGCCTGGGGCATCGGGTTGTGGGGTCTGGAGAAGCCCATGCCCTGTTTACACCATCTGCATTTTGCCTTGCACTTGGTCTGTGACCAGGGTCACCCCTGGTGAACATCTGCAGTGCCCACATTGGAGGCGGCCCCTGCAGGGATCCCCCAGAAAGCCGGGGGCTTCCTTGGGTGTGCTTTGTAGTGAGTGGCCAAGTCCACTGGCCTGCATCTCTCCCTCCCATCTGGCAGTGCTGGCTGGTGGGTCAAGGCAGTGACCATCATTCTGTGATGCCCTCCTCGCCGCTCTGGTGCCGTGAGGATCTGAGCAGTCTCCTTAACCCCATCGAGCCTCAGTTTCCCAGTCTGGAGATAAGAGTGGCAGCTCCTTGGCAGGGCTGCAGCACGCTTTCCTAGCTGCCACCGGACTCAGGGAGTGGACTGGGGTGTCCGCTTTTATATTCCCACCATAGCCCGCCCTCATCAGTGTGATGTCTTGTCAATGGCCCCTGCCCCAGCCTAAAAACTCCCCGAGGAGGGGATAGGGTCAGTGGCTGGAGCAGCAGGTGGCCCTAAACGTTTGTCAAATGAGTGAGTGAGATTCAAATATAGACTCTTGGTCTTCATCCAACTCTGAGACTCCTCTTTCTGCTTTCTGGGTGATACCTCTCCCACACCCATCCTGGTGTGGCCCCCATGTGGACCCCTGAACTTGTCTGCCCACCCCCTCTACCCTCACTTCTCTGCTCCTTCCCCAGCTGTCTCTCTGGCATCTGCCCTCCCCTTCTCTCCCTCCCACCCAAACACCTCTCTCCACTGTGGGAACGGGTAAACCTCAGATCTTTGCCCCTTCGTGGTCTCCTGTCTGCCCCCGCACTGTCTTGTTCATGATGTGCAAAGGCCGTGGTGACTCTGGGTGACATTTGGGTGCTGTGGAGGCACAAGGTGGAAATTTCCTCCCAGCTCAGTAATTTCAGTCCTCCCTCCTCTGGGCCTGTTTGAGGCTGTTCTGAGCCAAGCACTTGCTGGCTCCATCTTCCTCCCAGGCTTCCCTGGAGTCTGAAAACAAACTAGACTGGAATACAAACAGCCAGCCCTCCCTGCGCCCCCAGGACACTCAGCAGGTCCCTATAGAAACAGAAGCAGTAGCTGTTAGTTTTTGAGGGGCGCTTTTGTGTCCAGCCCTTACTCTGCTCTCAGCTTATCCATCACCCAGTCCCTCACCAACTCAGGACACCTAGATGTCCTGCATGGCTGGGAGGGCTGGGAGGGCTGAACCTGTGACCTGGAGCCCTTCCTGCCTGTCTGCGGGTCCTGTGTAGCCAGGCCTCCCCAGTCTGGCTCCCATCCTGCCTGTTTGTGGGTCCCGTGTAGCCAGGCCTCCCTGATCTGGTTCCCAAGGGAAGCTACACATTCATGTTTTTAAAATGTAAACTCCTGAATTTTAAATGTTGACAGCCAATTCACTTAGAAACACTACTACCTAAAAGAATAGAACATGCCTGTGAGCTGGGTTTTATTCATTCACATAGGACCACAGTGGGGAATGATCAGAAAGGCCCTGCCATCCTGGGCCACGGAGGTTTCTTGGAGGTGGTGGCCTTTGGATTGAGGCCTGAGTAGAGGAAGGAATGAGCTGTGGGAATAATGAGGAGCGTTCCAGGCTAAGGGAGCAGCATATGCAAAGGCCCTGAGGCTTGAGGGGGCTCAAGGAGCTGCAGGGAGGTGGGTCTGGCTAGAAGAAACCCAGCCAAGATCTCAGAGCGGCAGGAGTTGGGGCAGGAGAAGGCAGGCACCAGATCATGCACGGCCTTGTAGGTGTTTTGAGCAGCCAAAAAAGTGATCTGCCAGGTTTAAAAGGGCTAGCTCTGGCTGCTGGTGGAGAACAGACTGCAGAGGGGCTGGGTAGAAGCCAGGAGGCAGGTGGAGGCTGTTCACACTAGTCCAGGTGGGAGTGAATGGTGGTGTGCAGGAGGTGGTGAACTTGAAGAATCTTTGGAAGGTGGACCCGGTAGGAATTGCTGGTCTATTGGATGTAGGGGTGAGGGAAGGATGAGTCTGAGGGCTATGGGACTGAGCATCGGGGTGGAATGGCATCCATGTGAACTGAGATGAGGAAGAGCAGGTTGGATGGGAGACGGGATGGGATCAAGTTGAGGTACAGAAGAGGCAGGTGGATATATGGACCCAGTGTTCAGCTCCTGCTTCATTGAGCTTGCCTTGAGGGGCCATGCAGGCTCCTGAGATACAGCAATGAACAGGGCAAAGTCATCCATGGCAAGGGTCCTTAGATTCAATTTATAGCTGGGCAAACTGAGGCTCCAAGAGGTTAAGTGACTTGGCCAAGTTTATGAAGGCAGAGCAGGGATTCAAACCCAGATCGTCAGGCTGCAGAGCTCAAGGCATCCTGGCCTCAGTGATGCAGACAAACTACCAACCCCTACCCCATCCGGGAATCCCAGATTTACGAAATTTTAGAGGCAGCTCTGCATGGAAGAAAAAGATTTGCTGTAAATAAAGACAAGCTCAGGGTCAATGTTTAATTTCCATAAAGGAGCAATTTTCAAGCCCTTTGGTGCTGATTCCTTGGCACAGAGATGATGGGCCAGTGACAGGCTTCTCACCCTTTCATAGTTGGTGTGGCCGGGGCTGCTGACGCCTTCCTGCAGTTACAGGAGAGTATTCCATCTTCACTGCTTGACGAGTATTCTGTAATATGTACTTCCTGTCCCGGCTCACTTCTCTGGTTCTTCGTGGGCAGTGTGTTTTGTTCTTGGAACACCTTCGTATGCTTTGTATAATTGGCTCCTCCTGTCTATGGGGTGAATGGGGTGGGGTATGCTTGTTTGACAGGTGAGGCACACGAAGGTTTAAGGGACTGACCCAAGGTTACACAGCAGAGCTGGGCTAGAAACGGGGCGTCTTGGCTCCTGGCCCAGTGCTCTTTCCCCAGTTGTCTTGACCTGTCTCTTGGGCAGACGACCGGCTGTGAAGACTCCGCCCAATCCAAGACCTGGACTGACCGCCCTCTCCTGTCTTTTGTTTAGCAGAGCCATCCTCTGGCGGCCACGGAACCCAGGTCAATGTCACCTGCATTGTCAATGTTTGCAGCAGCTCGGACCATGGCTTTCAATGCCCTTCCCAGGCCAGCTCCACAACAGGAGACACAGACACCAGCCCCTCGGGCTCCCCGAAAGATGAGCAGGTCCCCTTCTCCAAGGAGGAATGCCCTCTTCAGTCCCAGCCGGGAGTTCCAGAGACTCTGCTGCAGAGCCCAGAGGAGAAGCCCCTGCCCCTCGGCGTGCCTGATGCCGGGATGAAGTCCAGTTAACCAGGCTGGTGTGGGCTGTCTCACAGCCAATCTGGGCTGATCCCTGGTCCCTCTAGGCCCCTCACCTCCAGGACTCTGGCTCTTTCTGGGCCGAATTCCTTTTGTGGTTTCCACAGCCTCAGCCTTCCTGTCACCTGCAGGCAGAAGAATGAGGCTGGGAGAGTCATGTGTGTCTTGTCCTGACGTGCGTCTTTCTTGGAAGGCTGGTGGACACAGATGTGCCGGGCAGCCCGGGGCAAGCCCCTGCCTCTCTGAGAGCTGCCCCATCGCCGGCCCTGTCGGCTTGGCTTCTGGAGCCCTTGTTTTTTTGTTTTTGGGTTTTTTTGTTTGTTTGTTTATTTGAACCCTTGGGCTCTACCTGGCTCTGGCTTCCTGCTTGGGAGGGGGGATGCTGTGTGCGTCATTCGTGGAGAAGGGGCGGGGCTTTAGCCTGAATGTGAGGCTGCAGGATGGTGGTGGGGGGGGAGCGGTGTGTCATCAATCAGATGGTTCTGTGCAGAGAGCGGGTAGCAACCCCTGCAGGAGATGGGGGTCCCTCAGTTTTGCTCAGGACCCTTTGGAAACACCACCTCCAGATCCATTCCTGCTGCCTCCATCTCTTATACCATGGGGTGAAAACCAGATGCCCAGAGGGCCTGGGCAGACAGCCTGAATGAGTGCTGTGGCCTGGTTAAGATGGCAAACCTCTAACCAGAAACCTTCCAGCTTTAACGTGTGGCAATTAAAAAAAAAGTAAGCATCGTGCGGACAAACAAGCCAACAATGTAACAAAGCCAAACTTTCAGAGTTTGCATCCTCTGCCTTTGACCTTCACTGTGATTTACCCACAGCTGCAGCCTACCCTCCCCCCACCACTGTCTGGTGTGGGGTTCCAAGGCCACGCCTTTTCCTATCAGGGAGTTGCAGGAACTGGAGATGACTGAGGCCCTGCAGCCGTCTCCTCCTACCTCAGCCTGGACCTTCCTCCTTTGCCTCCCGAGGGGATGCTCCTGTTTCTCTAGCCCCACTGTTCCTGGAGTCCCAGGTCCCGGTGGAGCCTCGGAACCACTTTAGCACTGTGCCTGCCGAGATCTTGAATGGACAGGAGATGCTGAGAGCCAGTCTTGGGTCTGCGTGTCTGTGTCGCGTGTTGTGGTTCTGTGTAGCCCATGGTGTTCAGGCCTGCCGGAAGCAGCTGAAGCCAACATGTTTGCCGAGAGATTCTTCCCAATTAAGGAGTCAGCCCGCTCCCCACGATCACATGCCCAGGCCATCCCTGCAGGTGGTGGACAAATGTGGCCTTAACTGGATTCTAGAAGGAAGGTGGATGGGGGCCTCCTTGAGAAGACATTTGGGTCCCAGATACTTGGATCCCTTATTGAAAAGTTCCACTGGACTTGAACTTGGCAGCTGAACTTTTGGAGGGTAGGAGAAGTCCAGCCATTATCATGAAGTGAAGAAAGGTTTCCCACCCTGGAATCCAGATGTCTCGCTGCCTGGACTGGCCAGGGTCTCCGGCCACATTGGACCCTTTACGGCTGTGGAGCACTTCTGCCCCCTGGTGGAGGACCTCAGCCTCCCTGCCATCACCCCAGCAGAGCAGGGATGAATTGGAAGGAGACGCTTTTGGGGTGTGGCCTTATTTTGTAACCAGAGTTGCCACCAGACTCTTGCTCAAAATCCACCAACCCCTCCTTGGAACAGGAACGAACATATATCTTTAAATCACAGGGTCTGGACACAAAGAAAGAAAGCAATAGGAAGAGAAAAACAAAAACTGGATGGAACCAGCTGAAACCAACATGGCGATGAATCTGACCTCCAACAGACTGAGTCTTATTCTACGCAGATTTTACTACATTAGCTACTAAATGACATACTTATTGGTGGCCATGACTGGAAATCACTGACCATAAAAGGATAGAAAAAGAGTGACACCCCCTTTCCAGGAAAGCCCTGGGTCTTTCCCAGAAAACTAACGCAGATGGCTCCCCATCATTAGTCTCACTCCTCCCCCATCATTCATCCTTACTCCTTAAAAGCAAGTCCCTCTTACCGTTAAGGCCAGAAGTTGATCTATGAATTAAGTCCCGTGTGTCCATACTCTGGTCATTGAATTAAGCTTGCACTGCTTTGATCTCAGCTTCGGTTTTGTTTTCGGTTGCCTGAACCTGAGTGGGAAAAAGAACCTTCTCCGCCAAGGGCCCAAGTCGGGGTTCATGCAGCCTAATTCAGTAACAGTTTCCCAGTCTGTGGGCTTGTGTTGGTCCCAAGACAAGAAGAGTTTGCACTGTATGTATCCCAGATAGCATTCCTGCTTATAAATAAACACTTTGTTTTTTTACACACTGACTACTGGCTCTGTCATCAGGTCTGAGTTGTGGTATGCCTGTGGTCCTGGTCCCTGCCACCAGTGTGAGGGGGAGAACGGGCCATGGCCACTGAATTCTGACAAGCCCATGGTGTGGCTGGACCCCAGAAGCACCCGCATTACAGCTGCCCTTGCTGAGAGCCTGACCACTCCCTCAGGCCTGTGAACAGTAGGAAGGTGGGTTTTTGCCCAGAACCACCCAGCTGACCTCCAGATACGCCCTCATCACATGCCCTGTTGCCTCGGTCTCCTTAGCTGAAGCTTGGGGTGGGAGTGGTCTCTGCAGATCTGTTCCTTCATGTGCAGCCCCCTTCTCATTCAGGGAAGCAAGACTCTGGCCTCCAGGAGGCCCCAATCTTGGGGACACCTCTGAGGTTCATCACTAGGTGCTCAGATTACAATCAGATAAGGTAAGGGGTCCCCAGGGAAAATAAAATCAGGCATGGCTTTCTTGACAGAAGAAAAGCCGTTTTTGGCCTGAGCCATTTTGTGATCTAAGCCTGGCCACAATGCGTGGCCTTGAACAGGTATCGGTATTTAATGATCTTAAGGGAACAAAAGGATGCAGAAACAAAGACTGTTATCAGGCAAGAGAAGTAAGGATAGCAAAGATAATACGTCAGTTGTAAAGGCTCCCAGTTCTGTTTCAGTGGTAAAGGTTAGCATGAAGCTGTCAACCATCAGATCAGCTGGAACCTAAAGGGTGATGATGTTCGATTTTTCTGACCCTCGTGACTTCAGTCAACTAAAGCTTGGACTCTTTCCGCAATCCAAGCTCCTTCATGAGTATGCATGTACCCTTAGTTCAAAACTTCCCTAATTTTGCTGTTTGGGGAGACACTGCTTTGGAAATGATCCCCTGAGTTCTCCTTACGCGCTGCAAGTAATAATAAATCATTTCTTCTCCCGATCTTTGGCTTGGTTGTGTCTTTTGGTCTGACACCCACCAGGAGGCAAGTCCAGTTTTTCGGGTAACAGGATGAGCGTAGGAGCAGAGAAATGCCCTGGTCACTGCCAGGGGGTCAGGGGAAGGGTTCTAGAGATGATCTCTGACCTGTTCCTAAGGCATGAGCAGGAGTTTTCCAGAATAACAGGTCTGGAAGAGGTTTCCAGCAAAGGGAGTTCCTCATGTCAAGGCCTGGAGGGGAGAGGGACCCTGGCCCGTGAATTCAGTCAGCTTCCTTCCCTGCTCACTGTGACTCCTGTTGGGGGAACACTTGGTGGCGGGCCAGTGTCACGGGTCGGTAAAAAGAATTTACCAGAAACCAAGAGAAGTTTAAGAACAAAGGGAAAGTTTAATAAGTTCACTGCTACAGGCAACAGTGGGCCCCATAGGCAAGAGCTGTCTGCGTGTCCACCAACTGTGAACGCGCAGGGTCTTTTACTGAGGAAGGGGCTGTGGACACAAAGAGATAGGGGAACAGAGGTGTTTTTTTGGCTATAAGTGAGGTAAGGGGCTTTGGTATATGGGAGGATAGTGGACTTATGACTCCAGTAAGATGGAGACGTGGGCTCACACAAGGAAGGTGGTGGAATTTATGATTCCGATAAGGAGACGTGGGCTGGAACAAGTCAGCCTGAGCTACGGTGAGGCTAGTCATTTCCCAAGGCTGTTAATTCTGCTAAGTAAGGCAAACGCTTGTCAGGAGTTTATCTTCCAAAGAGGAGCAGGCAGATGCCTAAGGGCTGGAAGGTAGGGGGCCGCAGGGCCTCGGCGGGCACCAGGTGGCATTGCAAATCCCTCAGCAGATCTGTCTTTGTTCTCGGTGATTTCCTGGACCTCCTCTCCTCCCGTAGTCGGGCCCGCTACCCCGTCTCGGCCACTCATACCCTAAGACGGGGCTTGGCAAGCTTTTCTGTAAAGAGCCACATGGTACATATTTGAGGCTTGGGAGGGTTTAAGGTTTCGGTCTCAAGTATTCAACTCTGCTGCTGAAGCGTGACAGTTGTCACAGACAGTGCATCAAAGAAGGGGTGTGGGGAAGGTTTTCCACACCACCAAGCAGTCCCCAATTCTCAGTGGACACTGATGAGGTGTCCTACAAATTAAACTCAGTTCTGGCACTATCTACCTATAGGTAGCACCAGATCCCACAGGTTAACGGCTCAGCCCCACAAGATACCCCCACAGCAAACCCCAATCTCAAGTCCAGGTTGTCACCTGTGCTTCTGTCCTATGGGCTATAAATCAGAGGTTTCCATGGCTGCCTCTTTGGATTCAATCATTAGTTAGAACAGCTTCCAAAGCTCAGGTACACATTTACTTATGTTTCCCAGTTTATTATAAAGGATGCAATAAAGGATACAAACAAGCAGATAGAGAGGTACCCACGGTGAAGTCTGAAGGGTCCTGAGCCCAGGAGCTTCTGTCACTGTGGAACTGGGGATGCACTGCCCTCCCACCTGGGTACCGATGTGGAAGCCCATCAACGTGGAATCCCATTGTATCCTATAGAGCTTAATCTGCAGCCACCTCCTTCTTTCCAGAGGCCGGTGGTTGGGGCTGAAGGTTCCAACCCTCTAGTCACTTCACCTTTCTGGTGACCAGCCCTAACCTGAGGCTCTCTGGGGGCACCACCCTGAGTCACCTCGTTAGTATAAACTCAGAGCTGTTCAAAAGGGGGTCCTTATGAATGACAGAAGATACTCCAACACGCAGGAAATTCTAAGAGTTTTAGGAGCTCTATGCCAGGAACTGGACCAAGACCAAGTATATCTGTCATTATACCACAAGTGTGACCATATTCCAATGAAACTTTATACCAACAGGCAGCTGGTGGTTTGGGCCCGTGGTCTGTGGTTTGCCAACTCCTGTCCTAGACTTTGTCATTATGGATAACCACAGCCACAATCCCAGTTTCAGGCATCCCACTCTCCCTCACTGCAGCCCCAACCCCAGCACTGTCCTCTGTCTTTTTTTTAAATTTTATTTTTTATGGAAGTATAGTTGATTTACAATGTTAGCTTCAAGGGTACAGCAAAGCCATTCAGTTATAAATTTACACACACACACAGATACATATGTTTCAGATTCTTTTCCATTATAGCTTATTATAAGAAATTGAATATAGTTCCCTGTGCTATACAGTAGGTCCTTGTTGTTTATCTATTTTATATGTAGTAATGTGTATCTATTAATCCCAAACTCCTAATTTATCCCTGCCCCCCTTCCCCATTACATAACCATAGTTTGTTTTCTATGTCTGTCCTCCATCTTTTTGCCTCACTGGGACCTACAATCCATTCATTCTACCACTCTTCATCCGCTCCTGTCTTATCTGCCATAACCATTATGGTCAATCATTTTGTCCCGTGCATATAACCTCAACTCCCTGGACTTTCTCCTGCTTTAGTGTTCTCATTCTGAATTAAAGCCAACTTTCTGCACAGGCCATACCTGCACCTGTGCACCTGTACAGGGCAGGATTGAAAATAGTCAATCATGTGGACTGGTCTCACTTCAACTGCATGATCATTAAACTCTAAATATGTCCTTGGTACCTCTCAGCAGTCACAGTGTGTCCCCTTCCCACTTTCCTGGTGTATTAATTTCTTATTGCTGCTGGAACAAATGAGGCCAATTTAGTGGCTTAAAACAACATAAATTCATTCTCTTATAGTTCTGAACATCTCCTCGAAAATCAAGGTGTCACCAGGGAGACTAGGCTCTAGAGGAGTCTGTTTCTGAGGGCTCTAGGGGAGAATTTGTTTCCTTGCCTTCAGGTTCTAGAAGTAATTTCATTCCTAGGGTTGTGGCTCCTTCCTCCATTTTCAAAGCTGGCGGTATAAGAGCTTCTGTAGTCAGCTCTCCCTCTGCCTCCCACGTGTGATTATGTTGGGCCCACCCAGGTAATCCAGGTAACCTCCCCATCTCCAGATCCTGCCAGGGAACACATTCACGGATTTCAGGTTAGACGTCTTTGTAGAAAGCCCTTATCCAGCCTACCAACCCCCACCACCCATATACTCTTTAGGCAGACTATTCACACCCAGTCTTCCTCCTCAAACCTCTGACCTCACTCCATCCTTGTCTGTAGCTGGTTACCTGGCTGCCCATTTCACTGAGAAGATAGAATAAACATCACCCAAGAGAACATCCTAAGGCCCTCTCACCACATCCAACCTCCCACCTGCACCTGTGCCCAGGGCCTCAGCCTTCTCCCTATGAGTATGGAATAACTACGACTATGGATAAACACCTGGGCTGCTGGCTAAGGGCACGCACCTCTCTGTTCAGGATCTTAGAATCTCTCCCAAATCAAAGATGTTGCTCCAGCATCTCTCCTCCCTCCCTCCTTCAGCATTATCTTCCTGGTCTCCTACGTATTTCCTGTCTGCATGCAAACATACTGACGGTTCTCCCACTTAAAAAACAACATACTATCTTACACCCATTAAAATGGCAGAAAGAAAGAAAGATAGAAAGGAAGGAAGAAAGGAAGGAAGGAAGGGAGGAAGGGAGGGAGGAAGGAAGGAAGAAAGAAAGAAAGAAA